TAAAAATATGCAGCTGAGGGAAGAAGAGAGACTCTCTTGGAGTCCTCTGCTGAGGGAAAGGCTAATAAGCTCACCCTTGATTAGACATCAGAGAATCCACACAGGAGAGAGTCGCTGGAAACCAGGCATCATTAGTTCCGCTGCTCACGGAACTACTTGTTAAAAAAAGCAAACAGAAATTCCAACGTGTGGCATCATACTGACACCCACGTTGGTCATCAGCAATCTTAAAATCCATTGCACAGACCTCTGCCACTGCAGCTAAGATGATAAATGACAGCAACAATACTTTGTCACCTTTTTCTAGCCTAAGAGGGAGATGAAGTTCTTTGCCAGAGGAGGTCACATTCTTATGCTGACATCAAAGCCATGGCAAAATTTAGAAACACTGGGTCTACTATTTCTAGGCTTTGGAGGGAATGTGGTCAAACTTTCTGCCTGACACTTCAAAGTTAATTCCCCTTTTGCCCTTAGCCTTCTAGCCCAGAGCAATTGCCACTCCTGCACCAAGGCCCAGATCCAAGCTCTTTACCCACATGACCCAAGCCTCTTGATCCTTTACTGCAGGGGCTCTTCACTACTTCATTCCCTCAATAACCTAACACTTATCTCCTCTCCCTCATGCCTCTGTTGGCCTGTCCAGATCCCATACTCTTGTCCCTCTCTGTTCTGCTAGTTCTAGGTACCTCATTTTCCAGCACCTAGCAGGTCTGGTTCTTTCCTCCACCCCTCAGTCTTGGCTGTTTATAGCTCATTCCTGTGCTAGCTCTCCCCTCTCTCCCTTGCAAAGAGGCTCCTCATCACATCCTCTCATGCATTCCCTAGTTTGTAGGTTCCTGTCTTTTCTCTCCTCCTTTCTGATTCCCATCTCTACCAAGTTTCCAGATTTCCTCAGCACTAACAGCCCCAATCCCTGCCCATACCTCATTCTCATCCCTACCACGTTTGAACCAGGCAGTGTCTTCTCATGCCTCGCTGTTGTGTCCATCAGAGGGGGAGGTTACTCTCCACACTGGGCACTAGAGACTACTTCTGAAACAGAAGAAGGAGAAGCTGTGTGTGAAGGAAAAGCCTGTTTGGCCCTTCAGTGCAACTCTAGAAAGAGCTGCAGAAAGAGTAGATCTATAGTCTAGCCTCACAGCAACTGAGAGAAGTTGGGCTGCATTTGTCTCCTCTGTGGAGATGGACTGTCTGCTGAGTGCCTGAGTCTTGCTGAGTCGTGCAAGCCTCAAGAAGCCTCAAAGAGAATACTGCCTTCACATATTTCCACCTGCAAACTATAAATCATCTCAGAGCATGCCTAATGGATTTTTTCAAAGCTTAAAACTGGCCAAATGCAACAATATTGTCACAAGCACGTGTGGCTTACTAAACTCATTAGCAGCCACCATTACAAATTAATTCAGAACAAGTCCACTAAACAGTAATACTAAATCCAGTAGAGAGGAGAAAAAAAAGGCTTAAGACATATCTGAGAAGATGCCCACATGCTGTATTCAAGCCACTAGTCCCCCTTGTGTACATAATTTACTCTCTAATGAGGGTCTCCAACCAGCTTCCTCACCTTGTACAGCTCGGTTTACTAAGGCTTCTGTACTCTTTTGCACCTTGGACTCATCTCTGAAGTTTCCTAGTCCCTCAGCTGCTTATTGTCTCCAACTTCCCTGCTGTTCCCCAGTGAAAGTAAGGAAAACCCAAAAGTAAAGTGAAGATAGTTTGTTGATTACACTATGACAGTGAGGCCCTTCTCAAGCTAACTACCCTTCTGTTGGTATCCGAGGCTCCAGAGCACAGCTTGCAAAACATTCCAGACTATAAATTGGTATTTATTCTAGATTTCACTTAGTACCAGAGCCTAGCAATACCTATACAGAGCTCTCTTCCTCTTACAAAGAAACTGCTTAGAGAACTGTCAAGAGAAAGAGAATTGATGATCTGGCCCAGAGCGGCTGAACCACATTATCAGTCTTGTCCACTGATCACATCACACCACAGACTTCTAAAAGTGCACAGGTACAGGCACCACACCAGGACTAAAAACCAATCCTACTGTATCCAGGACCTGTTTGCTACCTTATCCTCAGCACTTTTTACAGCACTGGGAAGAAGCCATGTGCTCCACAGTGCCAGCATCTTTCTAGAAAGGCTCTTGATGCTGATCTCATTTTCCAAAGAAAAAGCAAATTCTACAAAGATATCAGGGAAGATTAACAAAAAGCTGACGATTAATCCAGACAAGACTGAAGTGACATTACTCATGAAAGAAAATGTTTCACAGGACTGGCTCAGACGTTGTCCCCTGCAGGTGCAAGCATTCTTCCAGTAGCACAATGCAAAGCACCAAGGACTCTGCCATTTGAACCCCAAGGACAGATGTCAAAGATCCGCAAGCATGGCCATCATTAGCCAAAGCCTCACACCTTTTCTTACAAAAAACAAAATCCTAATCACAGAGATTCTTCCACCACTTTCACAGCAGCCTACTGATTCACTTCTGGAGATGATACAGCAGTAAAACAGTTGCCATTTGCTGGATCAGGCATTTCTACATTTAGTAGAGAATGGGATGAGCTGCAGTATATGTATCAAGGTTTATGCTCCAACACCTCCCACATCTGTCTGGCTGTGATCCTCATTCAAGGCCTTACTCTGTCTTTATCACCACACTAGGAGTCAGGAATTACAAATATTAATCACCTGCCCAGACACTCATGACAAGAGACCTCACAGTGCTAAAAAACAAAGCTTAAAAAAATAATTAAATTTGACAAAATAATCCCAGGCTTTAGGAATTAGGTATTAAAAAAACCCCACACTGATCAACGTAGTACAACTCCTTCCAGGAATCTGAGTACATTATTGTCAGCATCTCATCACGGGAATCAGTGAAATCATACAAACGTAGTCATATGAATGCCAAAACCAACTCCTCCTCCAGCCTGAGAAAGAAGCAGGAGTAGATGAACCTCACCCACAGTCTTAATTTAGCTAGCATATGTCTGCTTACTGTAGTGGCGGGAACTACTGAAATCATCCTCTAGAATACAGAAGGATCCCAGTATTCCTCCAAGTTTTAACTTGTGAGTCTATTCATATGCGTGTTTTAGAGAAATGATTTTACTATGTTGCACAAAGGTCTTCTCTCCCACAGCTCCAAGAGAAGACAGTGCTTTCCTTTATTTTTCCAACAATCATTTTTAGTTCCAAACTTGCACATGGGATGCATCATCCAAAGAGCAGATCTCAAGGAGGACAGAAGTACTCCCTCCTGAAGTACCACTATTGGTGGTCTTCAGTAAATCTCAATTTAGCTCTCTCACACCTAAGCACTGCTCAGAGGAAGGCCTACTTAGGATGGGAGCTGGTGAAAGGTACCACACTCAGGCTAAACATAAAGAAATCTTAAATATAAGGAAATTGCATGTTCCCACAAATATACTCATCTGTTTTTTCCCTGCAAAGCCTTTTTCATGAGCTATTACACAGACTATGCGTGCTCATAAAGTTTCTGCTGAGTCACTCCACCTGGTCTTGGGCATTTTTTTCCAAACTTACAAGTAAACAAGGAGCTATAATTAAAGCCCGGGTTCAGCTTTAATTCTAGTGTTCACTGCCAATTGTGTCCCCTGTAAATACATATTTAACAACCTAATTAGCAACCCAGACTGTAAGCAGCTTGAGTAGTGTGGATCTGTGGCTATGGCCCAAAATAAATGGTGGGATTACAAATAGCAAGCTACCTAACACTCCCACCCTTCCTCACCATACGCTGATTATATTTTCAAAGTGGAAGAACTGGGACATTGGCTAAGATAAAAAGGCTGATCCAAGCTCTAGTTTTGCACCCATTTAACTGTGTTGATTAAAAAATGTAAACATTTAAAAAATGCTATAGTTAAAAGTGAAAAAATGCCTGGGGTGAGTGCACAGATTCTGTGTAGATGCCTTCATAGTCCTATGGCATAATTCCAGAAAGAGAACTAAATCTGTACCAAAACAAAGAACATCTAGGATGACAAAAGGAAAACTGTTTGATATGGGATCCTGGGCACATTATAGGCAAGTGAGAAGACCTAGGGACCATCTTCTATTTCTGTTTCATTTTGGCTACTATTTTGCCTCTTATTTATCTTAATCATCTGTCAGAAACATCTATCATTGAAACACCCATAAGTGCTCCTGCTTTCCACTTAAGACAGACCATCACATTTACTGCCTACCCCTTTCTGCTCTGTCTGGTTCCCACCTTTTCTAAAACACCCACACTGCTTATCCTCTGGTTTAAGTATTTCCTCTTACCTTATCTCTCCCCTCCCCATCACTCGTAAACTCAAGCCACATCCCTCCAAGCTCAGAAACCCAACCTCAGGGCTCAGAACTCTTCTCCCTCTTATCTGACACACTTAGGGTTCAGAAACACCCTTATATTTAATTCAGAATCACATTTTTTCCCCTTGTTTTGTTTGGAGTACTGAGAGGGAAGGAGATCACACGGGGCAATACACACAGGAGCAGACACTACCACCACTGTTCACTGTGTGTCTCCAGTTCGTGGTCTTTCCACTGGACAGACAGAAGTCCAGAAGTCCTAACTGAGGAGCACCCAGGTATACCAGGGCTCTCAGCTACACCAGAAGTGCTCCAGCTGCACCAGCCAGCACTGCACTCTGCAGTACACCAGCCATATTACCTGGCTGTGCCATCAAGGATGCAGCTTAGCCTCCATAACATCCTGGTCATTAACTAACCTAGTAACAACTACACATTCAGGAAATCAAGACTGTCCACTAAAAGGATATCCTTAGTTTTGGGTCAACCCATCAGCTTGTAAATATTCCTGACCCAAAAGAAAACTCAACTATTTCTGCAGCTCAAAGATTCTCTACTCAGGGACTCTCTACGTACAAGGCAGAGATCTCTTCTTCCCCATGTAACCCTCTGAAGGGTTACACCCCCAACCCCATGCAATGTTACAGTCAAGGTTTAACCCCACTCCCCACCTGTATGTCTTGCCATCCTTGTGCTGGTCCTCATCATCCTCGTTTGTCAGCACAAAGGGGTCACTCATCTCTGGCAGCCCCGACTCCTGCAATCGTTTCTTCTTCCGGCCCCGGGGTGGTTTGGGGGCAACTCCCCCAGCCCCGCCACCTTCAGCAAGGGTGGTTGTCCCTTTCTTGGACAGGTCTGGAACCACCTGCAGGGCTGCCTGGGAGCCAGGGGGTAGCGCAGAGACAATCATGGGAGCTGAGATGGGAAAGGTCTGGGCAGAGGCGGCTGTGGTCACCAGAGAACCTGATGGGGAAGTTATCACCAGACCAGGACCTGCAAACAAAGGAAGGTGGAGGAAGTCAGTTATTACATCTCCAATTATGCCCAACCTCCTTATCCCACAGACGCATCTACTTTTGACTACAACACAAACAGAAGGGTAGCTTCCCCTCCCAAAGCATTCCCAGTCTCCACTGCTGGAAGTCAAACTTCCATAAAAAGGGTAGATGTATGGAGTGCCTAGAGATTCACAGTGAAACCACACCAAGGCAGGCCACCCCATCAGTAAGGCCAGGAATAGTCTACAGGCCAATAAGGATTCTCCAGGGCCTCATGTTTCCCCACCCCACAGTCCCCTTTGTAGGCTGCCGAAGCCTCTGGAGTGCCCTACCTGCTGTCATGAGCCCAGCAGACTGCACTGGTACCACGGTGATGTTCTGAGTCACGGGGGCTTGGCTGTGTGGTGTCAGCTGCTCCGGCTTGGTGTCCGAGTCCATGGAGATACCAGTGGGCAGGGCCACAGAGGTGGGGACTGTCAGCAAGGCCGGGTAGTGGGGGGGAGCCAGGCTGCAGCCCTTCTCTGTGGGCAATAGCTGCTCCTTCATCTTGTTAATGAACATGGTGTTCTCAATCTAAACAGGGGGAAGGACAGGTTTTAGCATTCCCTGGCACAGCTTTACCCAGCATTTGGCTGAGCAAGAAATGCAACAGGAACACTCATCGTGCAACATGCATTGTAAACTTCTGAACATAACGGGTTGGAAGATCTTACCTGTCCCGAGACGGTGGGCACTGCTGGCCAGAAGTACGGGGAGGAGTTGAAATGAGATTCTTCCATCCTAGCTGGGCACAGGGGGCAAGAAGAAGGGGGAAGGGAAGAGGAATGGAGGATAAGGAAGACGGACACAGACACACACACAAAAAAACCATTAAACTCAAAGAAACTCCAACGTGGAACTGACTCAGTCTAATGCTGTGACAGTTCCTTAATCTCCCCTGACTTTCTTAAGCAACTTCTCCCCACTTTTGAGCTATTTGCCCAAATAAAAAAAATTATTTCCAGGGGAAAAAGGTGCCTGTTATTCCCATGGGCTTGGGTTCATCTGAAACACCCCTTGCCCAGTAGTCCTCCATGCAAAAAATAGGACTGACTAGAAACCCAGAACATATCCAAATTTTCCCAATTATCATCCACCCAAGCATAAATGAAGTCTGTGCATCTGCAAGCAGGCAAATACAGATGAAAACTGTTTTTCACCATCACAGACAGTCTGACCCCACAGGCAGTGAAAATTTTGGACCTTGCCCATCCCTCCACCCCAGCTCAACACTAAGAACCCAGATGCAGCAAAGGGACATTAGCATTATGTTACTAGGAAGAAAGACAGGCAGAGAGAGGGAAACAGACTTGCCCAAGATAACAGACAGCCACAGCACACCAAGAAGTCAAACTCAGGGCTCCTAACTTCCTATTGCCCACCGTAGCCCCACTCTTCAAAGAAACACAGAAATATAATTCAATACTCCTGCTCTCCTCCATTGGCACTAAGCAGTAGGAAAATAACATGATTCCCCTACTCCTGAGATACCCTATTTCCAAGTGAGATTGTGTCACAGCTCTCCATTGTCCATTTTCTTTCCATCAAACTCTGTAGGATCCTGTCCCTAGCCAAGTGCCCACTGCTTCATCTCAACTCTCCCTACATTCAGAGGACAAGTTTGACACCAAAAGAGAGACTCCTAAGCACAGAGGCATAATCTCTTTGGGAACACCTGACTGAAGAAGCATTTCCCTTTCTAATCCTTACATTCCTCTTTGTAATACCATTTGTGGACAAAGTTTGTTGTACTTGCAAAAACATTACTCAGAACCTAAAGAAATTAACAAAACAATATTTTCTGAAACAGAAGATACATCTATTCCTAACCATATATGGCAAAAGTGGTAGGTAAAAACTATGCTCAGAATACATCTGGCGGAGAGCACAACCATTACAGGTTTTTCATGCAGCTACCTGCAAACTGTCCTACTTGTATTTCTATTATGGTCTGCCAGTGGTCTAATAATTGAACAATATTGTTTCTGAAGGGTCTATCTCAATCATCAGGGGAGCTCAGAGGGATGCCCCCAGTAGCATGAAACACATTACAGAAGTCTATCAAGACAAAATAAATACATGTGGATTTGCTGTGTGTGAGCCAAAATGCAAAGATAATTTTCCTCTATGTGGAGAAGCAGTATTTAAATGAACCAAATTACCCAATAATTTTGTTTTTATGAATTGCTCATGCAACAGCAAGGCCAAGTACTCCTGCCTCACTCACTCACTGCAAATCAACCAATAAACACACTTAAGGATAAATTATTTACCTTACGTTGGTGGCATGCAGTCAGACTGCTCGCTGCCTGACTGAATTACTCTGGATTTACACCACTGTGATTCAATCAGAGGCTGATGGGGCAAGACTCTTACCTTCCTTCCTCTGCTTTCTTTTCTGAGCCAAATTAATTATTAAGTACACTGCCCACAGCACAGCCCTATGCATGTAACGCTTAATTACATGACTTTTTTCTTCCATAGGATGGGCACACATGAGGAGATAACACATCCTTGGCAATTGAGCACCACCTGAATCAAGAGAGCTATTTTGTTTGGAATTTCCAAGTTTGAGGTTTTTTGCTTGGTTTTTGTTTTGTTTTTAAAATAAATACACCGTTATTTGCTTAGCTTCCACATCAAAAACACCAAAGTGAACCTGACTGTCCAAAACCACAAAGGCTCATATAATGATCAGATGGATTTTCCAGAGAAACTTTGTAGCTGTCCAAGACTCTCTTGGATACAACTGCAAACTTCAGGAGTTAAACAAAAAGATGCCAATTTAAGCAAAAAAAAAACCACCTCACAACAGCTTTCTTATTTAAAGAGAACAAGTAACAAAAGGCAAGTCCATTTCCAGATTCCAAAATCTGGACTAGCAGAGGCCAGGGCACTCAGTTGCTGCTTGTCTCCATCTTGTCTTCCACCAGAACTTCACAGAGAATCTAACTTTTGTTTGCTCAGCTTACAAAGTGTGCAAGTCAAACATGGCTCTTATTGATTCTTCAAAGGACAGCTAGACTGATTTGATTAGACTCCCTTAGAATCCACCTCCCCGTCCCAAAACCTTCACATTTGATCATATTATCTACCAGGCCTCAAACTTCTGGCTTGAAAGGCTGAAGTGTGATGGAGTTATAAGAATGTGGAGGAAAAGGAGAAATGGTGTAAAAGTTGAAGCTTTCATGCAATTTCACTAGCAAGCCAGTCTTCCAAAGGCAGAAAACAAAGGTAAGATTCCTCCACCAACCTACAGTCTTATTACCCCGAGCTGTCCCTCCCCTACCCCATTTTTAGGCTAAAAGGGTATTTTGAAAACATGCACCCCTATTGGCAGCCCCCACTCAGACGCTGCTCACACTTACTTTACCAGAACTCTGCTCGTAACCCTTCCAATTGCTCTATAACTACCAGACATGGGCTGGAGCTTCAACCCTGTACCACAGCACGCTCCCACTGCAGGGCCTTCATCATCCCAGCTTCCACAAACAGGCCAGAGATGGGACCTTCTTCCTATTCACCAGTCTAGTATCAGACAGATGTCAACGTACCCTCCTGATATAAACCAAAAACACTTTCTGTGTACAGACCACAAATGTACATACACCAAATAAACAACCGAGTGAACCAGAAAACTCACAAGGGACAAGGGATCTGGAGTTTAGACCTCACAGAGTACTTCACAGAATCACATACTTAACGTGCTGCATTTATACTTCTTGGCAGGTCACCACTTTAATCATAAACAGATAGATAAAAGCACGTGCAAGTATATGGTGAGATAGAGGCTGTGTTTCTGGAAGGCACAATCAGGGTTGGATATGCAGGTATTTATTCAGAGGTTGACTTTTAACACGGGTTTCTTTATTCTCCAGATGCCTCGCTTTTATTTCCCATTGGGCACAGAGTTTTCAGTCAACAAAAGGCCCTGAGAGTACTGCTCAGGAACAATTTAGGTTGTTGTTTTATGTCTGCCCAAGATCTTTGTTCAATGATGAGGAGCTTTTAAGCTTAATTGCTACAAAATACTAAGGATGCCGAAAGCCACACAGGCTGTTAGAACAAAAGCAAAAATGCTTCCCCGGTAAGCATAAGCACCAGAAAGTTCAAACGCTGCTACACCTTTAGAACAAGCGCATTTGAACACACATCAGGAATCTCCCAAATGTACCGGACAAAGTCCGGGATCCCAAACCCGCACGCTAGAGACAGAACTTTGGTGCTGTTCCCCGACCAAGCGAGCCCCTGCTGGAGCAGGTGCCTGGCAGAGGGCGTGCCCTGCGCCCCAGCTCCCTCCAGGCGCTCAGTCCCTTCTCCCGCACCCCGGAGCTCGAACGCCTTCGCCCCCAGCTCCGGGACCCGCGGCCCATCCCATCTCCTCCCCGCCGGGCAGCCCCCGGGCCAGGGGCGGGGGTCACTCACGCAGCTCCGGGAGCTCCTTACCCCTCTCACTCTCCCTCTTCTTGCATTTCTCCTCCTTCCAGGGCCGGCTCTGCAAACAAACCGCCTCGGTTACCGGGGCCGCGCATGGCAGCGGGCGGCGCTCGGCGGGCCCCGCGGCTCGGGGCACCCCGGCCATGCGCGGGGCAGGCGCTCCCCGTGGAGCTCCGACACGCCTCCCCCCGCGGCGGCCGAGGGCGGAGCCGGCCCGCAGCGCGGCTCCCCCGCGGCGGAGCCGCCGCCACCGGGACAGACGGGCGGACAGACAGACAGCCCGCCCCCCTCCATTTCCGCTTCCAGATCGCCCCGGCCCCGGCAGTCCCGCTGCCCGGCCCCCCGCCCGCGGTCCCGCCGCCCCGCACGTTACCGGGCTCCCCCCCAGCGGCGGCCCCGGCCCGGCTCCGGCGGCGGCGGCCTCCTCACCGGAAAGACAGCGGGGAGGAGCTTCCGGGTCACGGGGCGGGACGGGCCTCGGCGCTTCCGGGTCGCCCAGAGGAGCGGAACGGCGTCATCAGCGGTTTCGCTAGAAATCGGGGCGGCGGAGCGGCGGCGGCGGCCCGGGGGAGGCTCCCGGGGCGGGGGCACCGGCGAGGCGGCCGGGGCCGCAGGTCGGGGCGGGGGTCGGCCGCGCGCGCGCGCTTACCGGAAGCGCGGAGGGCGCCGGCGCGCGGGGCAGCCCGGGCTGGCGGAAGGGCGGAAGTGCCTGTGGCGGGCGGGGGGCGGCGTCCCCGGGCCCGGCCGGCAGCGCCGCTTCCGGCCTCGCGGCGTCACGTGACGCGGGCGGGCGGAGGGGAGAGCGGGACAGCCGCCCTCATGAATATTCATGAGCCACCGTGAATGGCAATTGGGGCGGCGCGGAGCGGGTCCGGTGCCGAGGAGTTTTCCCGAGCGCGGTGCCTGCCAGCGCCTGGGGCGGTCCCGGCCCGCCGCGGTCATCCAGAGGAGCTGTCCCGAAGTTTGGCTGCCAGCGCCTGGATAGGTCCCAGCCCGCGCTGGCTCGAGCGTCTCCTGGCACGCTGTTAAACGTGTCTGTCCTGCTCAGCCAACAGAAAGGATTCCCGCCAGCTGGCTTTGTGCCAGAGCGGGCAAACCGCACCGTCCCACTCCCTGCCCGGAACAGGAGGGCAAGGCAAGGGTAACCCTGTCCCGGCAGCGGGGCTCGGTGTAACCTCACCCAAACGCCAATTGTTCTTGTATTCGTAACCGTGCCAGCTGGAGCCCAGAGGGGGCTGCAGCAGCTCACCCTCGCTGCCGGTCGCTGAGAGCTCAGTGTCACCGACTCAGCCCACACAGGTTCCCTCTGGCAC